GTCGTTTAACTGACGGCCTAAAACATTGTCCCTATCGATGATGTAATCATAATGGATTTAAATGAATCATTGCTTAATGTCATATAGCCTACTTCAAACGGCCTATTTAATTTATTAAAGTGGCTGGATGTAGTCAAGGTAACAATGGAATAAAAAGCTTACTATGAAGATGCTAAATTAAGGGCACCCCGAAATTCGTTAGGAGCCTCTACCAAAAATGGAGTTAGTAGTCACAAGCCACACAGAAGAGACAGTAGGCGCATCCCATTATCATGAGAGAAAGTTGCTTCAGGAAGCAAGCTGTAACTAATCTAAGACACTGACGTTAGTTTTCCTCATCAAACACGTCCAGGACTCATTTTTGTAAAATTGAACGCATTTATTTCAAACCTGGAAATATCAATACAAGCCTACATAAAATTGTGATAGAGAACTGCCTTTTCGTAACGTCTTGTGGTACAGCGTTAAAGAAGAAAATTATTATGTCAGGAAGGATAATATCACTATACATCATTGTTCCACTAAGTAAAAAAATAAGTTTTCAGAAATTCTTATTTTTGTATGAATGATTATCGTTCGTTATCTTACCAGTGACTTGTCTTCATGAATTTTCATGAGTAGAGGTTAACTTTGAGTGTTCCACGATTTAAGTAATCAAACGGTTGTTTTTTCGAAAAATTTTATCTATTGATCGATGAATCGTCTTGAAACAAGTATATATACTGTTTTACTCCTCAGCCCGTTTTTGGTATTTCTCATTGCTCCAAGCCCTTTTTGCTTATTATGAAAAATGAGTTCCTGAGAATCCATTAAACTCTGGCACATTAGCTGATAGACTGTCATTTTTATATGATTAATCCTAGTAACATCCTTTTACGTTTATTATTACTAATTTATTTAGAAAGTTTTTGACATTTTTATGAAGTTGATGTTTCTTGTGAAATATTTACGTGACTAAACAAACCTTCACCGAAAATATTTTGATCTTGATTGTAAATCTGTGTGTCTCCTGTAATCAATTGTTACTTGAGAATAGACATCTATCAATAATAATTTTATTGCTCAACATATATTGAATTACGTGCCAATATTGGAAGAATACAATTTGATATAAAAATGACTTTTCAATTTTGTTTGTCAAAATATCATACAAAATTGTTGAGTATGCTCGCGATTACCAGTTTTATTTCATTATTTTTCTAGCTCTATGGTTAATACGATTCTGATCTGTTTTTCCTCGATTTCCGCTTGTTTGTTTCATAAGAGTTTCATTTCTATCATTTAAATGTGTTCACTGTTCCTCTGGATAACATCATCGTCTTGAAAAAGCATTTATTATTGGATTGTAAATAGTAACTAACTTTTTATATTGGAAAGCACAGATTTTCTTCATTAAATGTACTGGTTTTATCGCTTTGGGCTCGCTTGATTTCTCGCTTGACTCTTTTCATCAATTGACTGTCTAGAAAATCAAGTTAACTTACATATATGTACTAGCCAAAAATCAATCTGTGTTTCCACTATCTCACAGCTTTCTAACCACTTGTGTATTAATTTCATCTGAAACTAAATCCTTTTGTCTAACACTCGGGTAATTTATTCTGCTTGACGATCCTTACCTTTTTTCTTTCCGTCGCTCCATTATCAAAATCGCCCACCTTAGACTGATGTGATCTCATTCAAACAGTTTGCCTAACCTCGTCAACATTATACAACTAATCTTTTGATTATTACTGTGTACTGGAAGTTTCACACACGTATTGTTTTTTGATTAGTTTGACAACATCAACTGTTATTAATGTTCTGCAAATGGAAGTACCTTAAAATATATTCACCAAATTTCGCTCTTCTAATTCCTCTGCAGTAAATGTGTCAAGATAACTTCATTCTATTGCACTTTTTTGCATTAGGTCTATCAAGTAGTTTGATAGGTCACGTTTTTTGCATTTGAGACTTTTGTGTTGGTTCTGTTGATTAGCGTACCGAGGAATTAAAATTTCTTGCTTGACTCTTTTCTTTCAATGATTGAACAATAAATGAAATCTACTTTCATATATGTACTAGCCGACAGTCAGACTGTTTTTTGGCTATTTCTAAGGTTTATGACCATTTGTGTGATTATTTTACCCGACACTGCATCATATTCACAGTTGAACAGGTCGCATCGTTATATGCTAGGATACATCAGGGTGAATGATATCTGAAGTCAGTTCATATAGCTAGTTAGAGTAATTACTTCATTTGTTATATTGTCTAATATTTGAGTATTTTATTCTGCTTGACGAACCTTACCTATTTTCATTCCGTTGATCCATTATCAAAATCACCCACTGTTGGCTGATGTGATCTCACCTGAATAGTTCTCCTCACCACTTGAACATCATACGAATAATCTGATGGTTATCACTGAGTATTGTCTGTTTCTCACAAATATTGTTTTTTGATGAGTTTGACAACAACAACTGTTCATAATATACTTCAAACGATAGAATCTTCGAAACCCATTTACCTAATTTTGCTCTTCGAATTCCTCCACAGTAAGTGTGTTAAGATTACTTAATTCTTTTGCAATATGTTTGCACTAAGGCATTCATTTGGTTTTCTCAATCACTCCTTTTGTATCTGAGACTTATGTGTTAGTTCTGTGGATAAGCATACTGAGCAAAAAATTTCTAACTTACTAGCTTCACAGGATGAATGTCTGTCCGTCCAAAAAAACATTTATTGAACAATACGTTTTTTATTATTTAATGGATTATTTTATATACATCTTGAGAAATTCATCTGTTTCTTGCAATTCAACATTGCTAGGCCACCTACTGTTCGCCATGATACTCTAAACATATTATTCACAGGTTTTATTTCACTACATAAACCATCACACTATGATTTAGGTGTTACTGCAATACACTGTACTATATAGAAACATGTACTTCAAAATTCAGGCAAGATAATTGAAACAGTGTTGTCTAATGTCATTCTATTGATCGGATGTTACTAAAAGCATTTGAACCTGGGCAAACATATAACTGATTGTAGACAATATAAAGATATCACCCGATACACAAATAATTAGACTGTAGCGCAATAAAGAATGAATATGTTCATGCATTGAAATTCCACTGAGTAATAAAAAAAACGTTATTACATGACACGAATTCTTTTTAATTTGTTTTGAAGCTAGAAAATTTAATGACATCATTCGTGCAGCTACTACGAAAACATCTACTTAAAAAAATGAAATTCCATCTGACACTCTTCGCTCATTCGTTTTTTAGTCTTCCACAAAGTTTGATCACACCAAACATTTCTATCTGTATTACCGTTCGTTTGGATTTTCTACCCGTGAACTTTTGTCAGAAGCACCCACCACAATATGTTCAATCGTTGTAGTCTTTTGGTTATTGTTTAGTAATTTTTTGTTCACGTAAACAGCATACGGAAAACATTTTAGCCCGAACTGTAAGTCATTTTTTGAGTCAACGTTAAAGAACAGCTGATGCGTTTGTATCCTAAAAATTAGAAATAACAAACTGCCTTTATATACTTTACTGGTAAACCTGAATGACGCTTATCCACATATGTAGGTGACAAGCTTTTTATACTTTCAAGGAAATAGGTCAACAAAGTGATTGTCTTAAATCAACGGTTTGTGATATCCTAAGCGTATTTAGAATTACAAATCAGACTCATTAAATGATTCAACAAATGCTTCCGAATGATGAAAACAATTACATTAGAGTTGTTGCAATTAATTTAAGTCTCGAAAGTCACATGCAATTTTACTGTAATGTTGTTTTTGGAAGTTCTAAAATAAAAAGTTGAATGTGAGAAAATTCATTATGTATTAAACATAGACCGTTGACCAGGATTCAATTGATATATAAAAGAGGATCTAATGGAATTAAGGCAAATGTGAATTGAACACGCTCCTACTGTAGTGAATGAGAATACAGGTGGGTCAACCGAATTGTATTTAACGAAAATTACAGAGTCACTCAGTAAAATCGGAAAACCATATCGTAAATCGTTCATTTGCAAAAGATCAGTTCATCCTATGGAACTGGACTGTTCCTGTTGCCAAACATCAATCCATTGTCACTATTCATGCGTTTCATACAAATTCCATTGTTTTCTAACTCTTCCTTTCTTGATCTTCCCCCCATATTATGCTACCAGACTTTACGTTGACACTCATGTTATATACTACTTATAAGTAGTTCGCACCACAGCACCACACTACTGCTTCATTTGTAATTGACACCCACTTGACCAATTTAATGTACAGACCTGATGTTTTTATAGGTTTGACTTGAATTATTTTCGAGTCCAACATGTTCAATTTCAGTATGCATGCGCACATCAACCAGACTGACAGAGACACATGCAAGTCACATATAAACATACTACATTTGTTTGAACATGATCAAGCACAGATGAAGACTGTTTCACGTGATTTCGTTTTTCTCGAAATCGGTCATCGAATATTCTAGAAATCCACAGTAGTGAATTGGTCCTATCTCCGTCGACGACCGAGCAGTATTATTCAGAAACCTAAGATCTCAATAAACTAAACTGCGATATTACAGCTACTCGTCATGGATGAATAATTTTTAACGACCGACACGAGAGGCAGTAGGCTGAAGTTTTAACCAACCAGTTTCTGTGTTAGTATAATGGTGATAGTCTAATCAACTACTGTCTCTATGATCGCATTTACGATCAGATACACCCAACATTGCAGTAGACAATATATGCTTTATTTATTGTTAATTGAGTATATATATACAATCGATTTATGAGTGTACATCAAGTATAGATCGATCAAGTAACAGTTTGTGATGACCTGTAACATATTTTCCACAAACAATGAAGAAAAAATTTAGATTATTCAAGGTTTTTTATGAAAAAAACATTCAATTGGTAATCACTGCCTGTAATATTTTCAACTGGCAAGCACAGTTTCATGTAAACAATGAAAGAAATAATTGACATGGAGTATCGAAATAATAACAAATAGTATATATTCCAACGAATGTATAAAAATCACATATAATTTAGAGTAATCTTCCAGTTTAATCTGTTTCATCAAAAAGTATGTTGTAAATGCAATTATCTGTAATCGTAAAAACAGTCTTAATTAGTTTAATAATAAATAAAGCAATTAAACACGTCATATCTATGTGATATTCATGTGTGCAATGACTGACACGTGGACGTGATTTGAAATTCGCAAATAATCAGTCAGTGATTTGGTTTTTTATGACACCTAGTCTGTCGCTGTAAGAAACGAAGAAATACTGAATATATTCGTTTGACTACATCTCGGTTTCATGGATTATTCTTATGATATCGGAAATACCAATGATGCGCTTGAAAATCTATCATGTATCATTTTTGCAAACGTTCCAATGTTATAGTTTCAGTGTATAAAACGATTCACAATATGAAAAACGTGTGACCTACGTTTATAAGTCAACGTATGTTTATACATATGAATCGAATATTATGCGTTCGGTAAAGACTCACGACAAACATTGCTTCGCACCAACAAATGGCTGACAAAATTGGCCATACAATCTAGAATACAAAGGAAGAAAATATTTCGTAACAACTCATTTTGTGAATATTTGTTTTGCACGCAGACAACAATATTTATGCACATATAAGATATATTCTATGTGAGTTTATGAATGATCTGAGGAAATGTCGGCATCACCAAAATGGCTGAAACATCATGGCCTGTCTTCGAATTGTACACAATAAACCTTGAAAATGGTTCGCCTAAACACTCTGTATGGTCACTTTTGCATTGGTGATCTCATATTATTAGTTTTTGTGTATTCACACTTATTAGGTAAGCGAAGAATGTATCAAGTTTCATTCCTGCGATTATTCCAAAACGGATAGTTATTGGTTGACATTCGTTATAAACATACAAAAATAACTCAACAATACCTCTCGGTATGTTAAAATAAATGCTTCCTGTCAACCCACGGTAGACGAGTTCGACCTTAAGTATGAGACAACACTCTCAAATAGGCAACCGATCAAACCAGTCATCAATGTGCATCGTTTAGGACAACCAAATTTTATTGTTCATAATTTACAGGTAGAGCGATTTATATAAACCGTAATATACATATATATGTTTGTTTCATGAGAAACTTTCTAGAATAAAACAGATGAAAATATTTCATTTTATATCAATATGTGAGTATTTTTTTGGCATTGCTAAAACGGTATTTATTCACAAATGTGCTCACTGCTACCAATATTTTAAAAAAATTCAGTATCATGTTTTAGTTCAATTCATTCATTGTTCACAATGTGGACAGAATGCAACTTCAATTTTTATGCCTAACATCGGGTTTACCCACGAATTAGTTGACTGTTTATCGTCCCCTTCTACATTTCCGTGTGTAGACTGAAACCACAAAGTATAAACGCGAATACATTGATGAAATTATAGCAGCAACAGAAAAAAAGGAACATCATCGTGGGTCCTTGTTCAGTAGAAGAAACTGTACCTTGAGTCCCAAAGTCCGTATATCATAAAAATTCAAACACAAATCGTCATAAAGTGATATTCATATAACAATCGAATCAGTTATCATTTCCGATAACCTGAAGTTGATATTTCAGGAATACTTACTTTACATTCATTCTTGTTCCTGCAGATTATACTCAAAATGCTGCAAATGATTCCAATTACTAATAATGCACAGCAAACTAGAAATAACACTATCCTTAATTTTCCAGCGGAATATTTCATCCTTTCACCTAATACAACACCCAAGATCAATACTGTGAATGGCACAATCGTTGCAATAATCGGTTCATACCAATCATCACGTTTAGTCAGTAATGCAACACCGATAATCAATATAATCAGCTGAAAAGTAAAGAGGAATTTTGATACGTTCTTGAAAGTTCCTCATGGGAGTAGTTCATAATGAACAATAACATCACAGTTCCTGTTATTTTTATCTATATGATTTTAGATTTTTCTCATGACAGTTGCTGATTCCGATGAATTATATTGACAGTTGTGATAGATATTTCTTCGACGACTCTGTTTACTTATTGCACATGATAATGTTCCATCACCAATTTCATGTGAAAAATATCACACAGGAAGATTTATAAAACAGAAAGAACAAATGATGTTCTTATCAGCTGAATTCAACTTCTACATAGAGCATGAAATGATATAATGCACTTTGTAGAAACTCAAGTTTTAAGACATCCTCGGCATGTAGAAGCCAACACAAATAATAAAGTTTGAACATTTTTGTTTCTTGATTCTATGCATTGAAATTATCAGAAGTTCAATGCGAACTGAAATTTCAGAAACATTTCTTATGTTTTCGTACAGTCTTCCTTAATGCACGCCTAATCTACACACTCAACTTGTCATCGTCATTTTTGTATCATCAATGTCAAAGTAAGCCATGGGTCTTACGTAACCATGATTCATTTACCATTCTGTTATATGCATATCAACACTACTGTATATAAGAATAAATCATGAAGATCCAGTCGGAATGAAATTTCTGAAAATCCACCTGAAGATCTCATTCGAAACCATGTTTGACCTACGGTAATAATCATGATGATGGTATTCCTCGTGGATGCCGTGTGCAATGCTTTGATGAGTAGTATGAGTATTGTCAGCAGTAGACCGATTCCTCTGAAATGTGAAAATAAATTTCACAACAAAATAAATTGTATTGTACATTGAACATAGTGCGAGTCATAGCAGTTCTCTCTAATATATACGAGTCTAATGTTCAGCGATTCCGAGGAAGAAAATATTGAAAGCGTGATCACAATTATTCCTTCAGCCCCAGAAATAGTACAGATTAACTATACACCAAATAATAAAACCAACTTCTTCATCTTCCATAACTTACAGTAGAACAAGACAAGATATGTAAAAGGGATCCTTGCATACACATGAGTCAAATCTGTTAAGTAAAATGGTATATTTTCAATCAACGTCAATTACCTACAGGCATGAACTCGTCTTCCTGCTTGTACAAATGTAAATGTCTTCCGACAATGCGTAAAATGCCAATGTTCTCATTGTTGAAATATTAAGATTGGATAAAAATTTTAACACCATCTTCGAATAATTTGGCAAAAACTATAGGTTTAATTATTGATGGCATACATAAATAATTTGAGTATGTAAAAATCGACATACTGGTTTCTACATTTCTTTACTTTCAACGATATAAATTCAAAAAATGTTTTGAACTTCAGCAAAATAGTTTGACGTCGGTATATACTGCAACGTTCTGCGCAGTTATCAATCGACGTGAGGTCACAGTTATTATCAATTTTCTATCTATCTACTCATTATTCTATCTGCTCACAAGCTCATCAGCCTCAGTTCCTTCCTATATATCTCTCTATCTTTCGCTAATTATCTATCTTTTTATCTACTCATACTAAAATAATCATCATGGTTAATTGTACTGCATCAGTCATTGTATTGATACACCAAAGGGTATAAAAAAATTTATAATCTGTTTCGAAAGTTTACAAAGTCACATCACTCTCCTTCAACGTTCGCTTCACACAACTCAAAACAATCACTGAAATTTATATACCCCTGAACATAAACATGTTTTTATTGCCAAACGACTACCATATAACCGAACTTTGGACCAAATAACAATGAAAAACGTTTTCAAAATACGTGTCTGAATTTCAGTGGTTTATACTGTATAAGTAATCGATGAATAGTTAAAAATACTTGGAAATAGATATATCGCATTTTCTGATGTCGCTGTGCTCATATAGTAAAATGATAGAATGTAGATATCAGACAAAACATCAAGAAAACAAGTAAAATGTTCATAATTTCCTTGAAACTCCGATTACTAGTTAGTTGAATGATCTTTGGCGACAGTTTCAATACTCAATTACCATAAACTTGTACATATTTGTTTGAAGCGATTATGTGAGACATTTATCAAGTAAACGTGAAAATATGTTGATAACGACTAGAAAGTAATCAGTAAAGTTTAACTGTAATGGTGTGCGTGGTGTGCGCATCTCATCACGTATGTCATTTTCAGAATCTGTGATTACTCCATTTTTGTGTGACGTGCCGAGTCCATCAGCGAACACGGCCCAATACTCTCAAAACTTGCTTGAAACGAAGACCTAATGTAAAAATTAGAACAATACAAATAAGCGAACAATATTGTTTTCGATTAGATCGTCATCATGCTTTACTCTAATATACATGAATATTTACATGAAAATGTTAAACTAATCAAGGCAATTTTAGTCATAATTACATTGAAATGAAAAAGATTACATAAATATATATTGTAGGCAAAATATATTACGTAAAATATTACGTAACGTTATTGATGTTTTTGATGATTATTTGGATTCTAGTCATCCCCCTTGACCTACTTTAGTTATCATATTTCATAAATTTTTTTACTACTTACTGTTTTCCCACTTTCCACTTGAACTTTTGCCCTCCATATGTAGTTACGTAATCTTTGTCATTTCATTGTGATTATCACTCAAATTGCCTTGATTGGTTTACCATTTTCATATAAATATTCATATATTAGAGTAAAGCCTGATGACGATCTAATCGAAAACAATATTGTTAGCTTATATGTGTTGTTCTAATTTTCACAATGGGAATCTTTAAAATTCTTAATGCAGAAACCCGAATATCTTGCATCGCTATCAGTTTGTCAATCTTTCAGTCTCACGATCGCAGGTTAACTGATCAGTCTCACGTATAGAAAATTGTCGGACATTACAAGTGTCTGGCCACCATAGTGTGGATACTTTTAGTAGGAAAATTCGATTTGTTTGATAGTATCATCCATCATGATGCATTACTTACTGGGTTTGTTTGTACTCTCTATTTATTTGTACTAAGTAGGTTCAAACGTTTCGTTTCCACACGTTTTAGTTAAACTAGACGTCGCAACTTCCACTTTTCACTCTTGCACGATTTCGGTATTACTTCGATACGAAACAATCACCATAAAATAAAATCCTTCTTTTAGAATAAATCTTCTCTGTCTTTGATACTCAGACAAATTTTGTTACGTGACGGGAGCGAAATAACTCTGTGGTGATGTTCCTTATAAACAAACAGGTTATCGAGTTTTTTATTATTTGCCTAAACATATATTAACTGCTTTATTCGTCGTGGTTAGTCCGCGAATTCGCAGACGGCACTGTAACGGTTTGAAGAAATGTTTTTTATGCATTATATTGATCCGTAATAAAAGGACGGTCAAGTGGTATTGACGCAAGATTTTGCATTTGTAGGTCCACTGAAAAACAAACAATACAGTTAAAAGTATATCATGATCTTACAAGATGAAAGTTCTCAAGATTTACGAATAAATATATCACTTAAACGGCATCAAAATAAATCAAATCCTGAAGATCCGTACTGAAAATATGTACTGAAAAATATGTACGAACTTGTAATGACGGAATTGATGAAAAATGCAGTTACAAAGTTAATTCAGCATATATTCTGTTACTATCAGTCGCCCAGATTTAGTGCGCAGGCCACGGAATTC